ATATATATATTAAGAGAGAAAAGAGAGATGAAAGAGAGAGAGAGAGAGAGAGAAGAAAATGTGGTGTAATGGATAGCGGCTTGGATTGAGGAATCGGAGAGACGAGTTCTAAAAATTCCAGTCGAATCCATTACATTCACTTATGTGCTAATACCCTTGGGAAAGGTGTGAATGAAATTTCAGCTATTTTTAAATAGCAGGACAGACTGGGTTCTATAGTCTTGGATGACAACTGGTTTAGAAGAAGGACAACTCTTAATTCAAAAAATTTGGAATATAATGTTTTGCACCAGGTCTCTGTAATCGTTTTATTAAATAAATTTGTGGAAATATTAAAACCTTCACCACTATAATCAAATCTCATGCATATAAAATAAACTATTGTCATTTTCCTAGGAACTGATCATAAGATTGGATCTCATACGTCGAATTCCGAGTCGAGTATATATATATATATATATATAATTTTCATTTGTATATTTAACCCATTGACATGGACTTACTGAGACCCTATTTCATTTTTAATTTCTTAAAAATAAAATCACTGAAAATATATTCTGTTTGCAAAGATAACTCTTAAGAGCTGATATTTAAACTCGGATTATATATATATATAAATATATATATATATATATAACTTTTAATCAAGATGATTACACACTCAAAAACTTTCATCCACTCGTGATCATGTATTTACATTTTCGCCGATATTGACAAAGAACTCTCTCAGAAAACTTTGAAGGTGATCAAGAAATACATGTCAAAAATTCTAAGACAGAATTAATATGTGCACTATATATATATATATATATATATATATATATATATATATATATATATATATATATATATGTATTGTATTTGAATAATCCTGACTGCTTATGGATTATAATTTTGAGGGCGAAGAGATGAAAGAAGTTTTGAAGTGGACCCTAGGCACCTTGGAGGTCAAAGAGGGGGGGGGGCCTAAAAAAGAGACTGGTGCGTTAAGATGAATTAAAGTCGGAGGGCCCCAATTTGAAGCAAATTAGATCCATCTGCAAAATGCACTTAATGAAAGAGGGAATAAAGGAGTAAGCATCGATTGCAAGATGACGAAATGCGCAGTTATTATCGAAAGGGATACCAAAATCAAATAAATATGAACATTTTAATATTTGGGAAGCATTTTAACAGCGGGTGGAAAGTGTCCAACATAAAATCGGAACGTGCATTGAATAAAGGACGATGCCTTTCAAAAGCTAAGAAAAATATTAAGAAATCGGAAATTTTCGTTAGAAACAAAGAAAAAGAGCGCTAGACTATTACATAATATCAATGATTCTATATGGAAAGGGATGCTGGACAATTTCCTCACAGATGAAGACAAGACTTGAAGCAAAAGAAACAATTAAAAGAGTGCTGAACTGCTATGTAATATCAGTCCTCCAATATGGCAGTGAATGCTGGACAATTTCCTCACAAATAAAGAGAAGACTTTAGGCAACAGAAACAATGAAAAGAGTGTTGAACTGCTATGTAATATCAATCCTCCTATATGGCAGTGAATGCTGAACAATTTCCTCATAGATAAAGAGAAGACTTGAGGCAACAGAAACAATGAAAAGAGTGCTGAACTGCTATGTAATATCAATCCTCCTATATGGCAGTGAATGCTGGACAATTTCCTCACAGATGAAGAGAAGACTTGAGGCAAGAGAAACAATGAAAAGAGTGCTGAACTGCTATGTAATATCAATCCTCCTATATGGCAGTGAATGCTGGACAATTTCCTCACAGATGAAGAGAAGACTTGAGGCAAGAGAAACAATGAAAAGAGTACTGAACTGCTATGTAATATCAATCCTCCTATATGGCAGTGAATGCTGGACAATTTCCTCACAGATGAAGAGAAGACTTGAGGCAAGAGAAACAATGAAAAGAGTACTGAACTGCTATGTAATATCAATCCTCCTATATGGCAGTGAATGCTGGACAATTTCCTCACAGATGAAGAGAAGACTTGAGGCAAGAGAAACAATGAAAAGAGTGCTGAACTGCTATGTAATATCAATCCTCCTATATAGCAGTGAATGCTGGACAATTTCCTCACAGATGAAGAGAAGACTTGAGGCAAGAGAAACAATGAAAAGAGTGCTGAACTGCTATGTAATATCAATCCTCCTATATGGCAGTGAATGCTGGACAATTTCCTCACAGATGAAGAGAAGACTTGAGGCAACAGAAACAATGGAAAAGAGTGCTGAACTGCTATGTAATATCAATCCTCCTATATGGCAGTGAATGCTGGACAATTTCCTCACAGATGAAGAGAAGACTTGAGGCAAGAGAAACAATGAAAAGAGTGCTGAACTGCTATGTAATATCAATCCTCCTATATGGCAGTGAATGTTGGACAATTTCCTCACAGATGAAGAGAAGACTTGAAGCAAGAGAAACAATGAAAAGAGTGCTGAACTGCTATGTAATATCAATCCTCCTATATGGCAGTGAATGTTGGACAATTTCCTCACAGATGAAGAGAAGACTTGAGGCTAGAGAAACAATGAAAAGAGTGCTGAACTGCTATGTAATATCAATCCTAGGTTTATATGGCAGTGAATGTTGGACAATTTCCTCACAGATGAAGAGAAGACTTGAGGCAAGAGAAACAATGAAAAGAGTGCTGAACTGCTATGTAATATCAATCCTCCTATATGGCAGTGAATGTTGGACAATTTCCTCACAGATGAAGAGAAGACTTGAGGCAAGAGAAACAATGAAAAGAGTGCTGAACTGCTATGTAATATCAATCCTCTTATATGGCAGTGAATGCTGGACAATTTCCTCACAGATGAAGAGAAGACTTGAGGCAACAGAAACAATGAAAAGAATGCTGAACTGCTATGTAATATCAATCCTCCTATATGACAGTGAATGCTGGACAATTTCTTCACAGATGAAGAGAAGACTTGAGAAAACAGAAACAATGAAAAGAGTACTGAACTGCTATGTAATATCAATCCTCCTATATAGCAGTGAATGCTGGACAATTTCCTCACAGATGAAGAGAAGACTTGAGGCAAGAGAAACAATGAAAAGAGTGCTGATCTGCTATGTAATATCAATCCTCCTATATGACAGTGAATGCTGGACAATTTCCTCACCAATGAAGAGAAGACTTGAGGCAACTGAAACAATGAAAAGAGTGCTGAACTGCTATGTAATATCAATCCTCCTATATGGCAGTGAATGTTGGACAATTTCCTCACAGATGAAGAGAAGACTTGAGGCAAGAGAAACAATGAAAAGAGTGCTGAACTGCTATGTAATATCAATCCTCCTATATGGCAGTGAATGTTGGACAATTTCCTCACAGATGAAGAGAAGACTTGAGGCAAGAGAAACAATGAAAAAGAGTGCTGAACTGCTATGTAATATCAATCCTCCTATATGGCAGTGAATGTTGGACAATTTCCTCACAGATGAAGAGAAGACTTGAGGCAAGAGAAACAATGAAAAGAGTGCTGAACTGCTATGTAATATCAATCCTCCTATATGGCAGTGAATGTTGGACAATTTCCTCACAGATGAAGAGAAGACTTGAGGCAAGAGAAACAATGAAAAGAGTTTTGAACTGCTATGTAATATCAATCCTCCTATATGGCAGTGAATGTTGGACAATTTCCTCACAGTATTTGAGAGAAGACTTGAGGCAAGAGAAACAATGAAAAGAAGTGCTGAACTGCTATGTAATATCAATCCTCTTATATGGCAGTGAATGCTGGACAATTTCCTCACAGATGAAGAGAAGACTTGAGGCAACAGAAACAATGAAAAGAATGCTGAACTGCTATGTAATATCAATCCTCCTATATGACAGTGAATGCTGGACAATTTATACAGATGAAGAGAAGACTTGAGGCAAGAGAAACAATGAAAAGAGTACTGAACTGCTATGTAATATCAATCCTCCTATATATATAGCAGTGAATGCTGGACAATTTCCTCACAGATGAAAGAAGACTTGAGGCAAGAGAAACAATGAAAAGAGTATTTGAACTGCTATGTAATATCAATCCTCTTATATGGCAGTGAATGTTGGACAATTTCCTCACAGATGAAGAGAAGACTTGAGGCAACAGAAACAATGAAAAGAATGCTGAACTGCTATGTAATATCAATCCTCCTATATGACAGTGAATGCTGGACAATTTCCTTACAGATGAAGAGAAGACTTGAGAAAACAGAAACAATGAAAAGAGTACTGAACTGCTATGTAATATCATTCCTCCTATATAGCAGTGAATGCTGGACAATTTCCTCACAGATGAAGAGAAGACTTGAGGCAAGAGAAACAATGAAAAGAGTGCTGATCTGCTATGTAATATCAATCCTCCTATATGGCAGTGAATGCTGGACAATTTCCTCACAGATGAAGAGAAGACTTGAGGCAACAGAAACAATGAAAAGAGTACTGAACTGATATGTAATATCAATCCTCCTATATGGCAGTGAATGCTGGACAATTTCCTCACAGAGGCAACAGAAATGTGTTTCTAAAGAAGTATGCTGAGAGTAACATGGACCTTACATATGCATAACGACAAAGTTTTGCAAAAGATGGAAAGGAATTGTTCATCTATGCTTAACAGGGAGAGACAGCTGACATTTGTAGGGCGCATAATGAGGAAAGCGAGCTTGGGAAATCTGATACTCACAGGACAGGTTAAAGGCAAGAGAGACAAAGGAAAACAACGCATCACCTAACAATCTTTTGTCAATGGATTACTGAAGAGTGTTTAGGAGACAAAATTTTATTAAGAACTACGAAGGACAGTGACTTTTGGAGAGCCATGATCGCCAGTGTACTGTTAATACATATTCATTTTATTCCGAATACTTGCAACATTAGACGAAACTAGACCCTGATGACAACATTGTGCTAATGTCGAAACTACCCGGAATAAAAATGAATATGCATCAACATGGTAATTTTCATTCTTCCTTTAATAAGGATACTAAGAAAATTTTCCGTGATTACAAAGAGAGAGAGAGAGAGAGAGAGAGAGAGAGAGAGAGAGAGAGAGAGAGAGAGAAAGTGTAGATGAGAAATATATATGTGGGGAAGGGGAGAAAGACAGACAGAGAGAGGAAGAGGAAGTAGATGATACTGAGAGATAGATAGAAAGAGAGAGAAGAAAGAGATAAAGAGAAAGAAAGAAAGAAAGAAAGAAAGAAAGAGAAAGATAGAAAGAAAGAGGGAGAGAAAGGTTGATAAATATATATGTAGGGAGAGGAGGAGAAGCTGAGGAAGAGAAAGTAGATGATGATAAGAGAGAAATAGAAAGAGAGAGGGAAAGAAAGAGATAAAGAGAAAAGGAGAGACGGAGAGAACAGAAAAAAGAGAGATAGAGAGTGAGAAAGAGAGAGAAAAAGAAAGAGAGAGAGAGAAAGAGATGTTGAGAAATAAAGATGGTGGCATAATGCGCGATTGCCAGAAAGAGAATATATATATATATATATATATATATATATATATATATATATATAAGAAGAGAGAGAAAGAAGCAGACTGGGAGAGAGAGAGAGAGAAAGAGGAAGTAGATCATAATGAGAGAGAAAGAAAGAGATAAAGAGAAAGAGAGAGAAAAAGAAAGAGATAAAGAGAAAGAGAGAGAAAAAGAAAGAGAGAGAGAGAAGTTGATAAATATATATGTAGGGAGAGATAGACAAGCTGACAGCGAGAGGAAGACGAAGTAGATGATAACGAGAGAGAAACAGAAAGAGAGAGGAGAAGAAAGAGATAAAGAGAAAAAGAAATAGAGAAGAATATGTGTGAGAAAGAAAGAAAGAAAGAAAGAAAGAAAGAAAGAAAGAAAGAAAGAAAGAGGGAGAGAGAAGTTGCAAATATATATGTAGGGAGAGAGAGAGAGACAAGCTGTCATCGAGAAGAAGACGCCGTAGATGATAATGAGAGGGAAATAGAAAGAGAGATAGGATAAGAAAGAGATAAAGAAAGAGAGAAGAGAGAGAAAGTGTGAGAAAGAAAGAAAGAAAGAAAGAGGGAGATAGATAGATAGATAGATAGATAGATAGATAGAGAGAGAGAGAGAGGGGGGTGATAAAGAAAGATGAGATCATGCGCTGGAGCTAGAGGGAGAATATAAATAAATAAATACATCATGGTGTTATCATCGAGACGAGGATCTATGCAATCGTAATTCAGTAATTATTATTGATCGTCGAGATCTCATCTCAATACAATCAGCATTCAGTTCTAATTGATTTAATGAGATCCCAATTGATCCCTTGGATCAAAGTCTCATTACTTTGAAAGTTCCTGATTCCAAAGAAATCTTGCCAACATATGGAAACTCCGACGAAATAATCTTAGACAATTTTTGGCCATCAATACTGGTTTCAATAATCAAATGACATTGTTGTTTTGTCATGGGGTGTATAGCAGAGAATTTTAATAATTTACATCTCCCTCTGAAAGACGGACAATTAAATAAATAAATATAAATAACAAAGACAAACCTTTTATTCAAAGATAATTATTAAATGTTACTTTTCTCCACACTTTATTCTACTATTAACAATGTTAGGCAAAGAATAATGATCACTTCAAAATAATTTAAGATATTTAGAAACATACAGGGTGCGATGGGTAAATTGTCGACATTTTATTTTTTTAACTTTGCGCATGCGCGTTTTTATTTTTTTTAACTTTGCGCACGCGCGTTTTTATTTATTTATTAATTTTTTTTTTTGTCGTCTCCACAGTATAGATGGTTCACTGGGGCAGCGTCTGTGAGAAAAAAAAACAAAAAACAAAACAAAAAAACACCATAACGCAATTCACGCTAACAGAAATTAGAAAACGCTTGTACTGTTTGGCATTCGCGCCGGAAGCTCCATTACGAACATTTCAGTGTTCGGGTGTCAATCTGAGGACAGTGCAGAGGGTTCGGAAAGAGTTGGATGAATCTAATGGTGATTACGAAGGTACGGCAGCTCGAAGAACTTACTCCGATCGTTCTGATAAGAAAAGAACTCCCTAAGTTGTTGGTGAGAGGTCTCAGACACAGCATGGAGGCCTACATGAAGTGCCTTCAGGAGTTAGTGCTGTCCTGGTTCAAGAGGTTGGCTGGTGGAAAGCTCTATGTCTGGCAACAGGACTCTGCACCATGCTACACAAGCAGGAGAATGGCTGTCAGACAATTTCAAAACTTTTAAATTTGTTAAAACAGTCTTTTACATGTTTTTCTAAAAAAAAATAAATAAATATTTGTTTAATTTTTTAAAAATCTGAAGCATCCCAGTTCGAATCACAGACCCGATTTTACCGAACCATATATCGATGAACGAACATTGATTGTCTTCTTTCGGAACAGTAAGGATGTCTGCTTCACTTTTAATTCATAGCAATTATCAAGGCAATAAAGCCACTAAGATGCAAGAGGTTATTGTGTATTAGAAAATACGAGAAAAAACTACTATCAAGTCGAAAGGACAATAAAAGAACAATAATAAAGAAGACAGGCGATTACGATTGGCATTGCATTTTTGAAAATCAAAGTTGGGAATTTAAAAGCTGGAATAGCTACATCATTTTATAATTTTAAATTATTAATTATTTTTATTTTAGACTATTTTATTTTGCTATTATTGATAGTATTATCATTATTAGTTTTAGCCTTATACAAATAGTTTATTAATTTGTTTTTTTTTATTTATCCGTTTATTTATTTATTTTTTATATTATTTATTTTATTTAATTTACTTTATTTATTTATGTTGAATATTATTTTATATTTATTATTATTATTATCATCATCATCATCATCATTCGATTTCTGCTATGGACACACTACCTACCAAGTCTGCGGAAAGACCTAAGGCAGGTCGTGGTGTGTTGTTATGGCCACATTTCATGTTAATTTTTTTTTTTTTTTTTTTTTTTTATCTCCGATGAAGTTGCTAGCGTTACATAGACAAAGTTCTCCTTAGTGTGTGTGCTGTACTTAATAAGACAATTTTCTGTATGTCTCTTAAGCTGGGGTTTCCAGGGATTCTTTCAATGTGTTGTTTTGTTCCATTTTTTATAATTCCAAGTGCACCTATTACCACTGGTATTATTCTTGTTTTCAATTTCCACATTTTTTCTATTTCAATTTCCAGGTCTTTGTATTTTGATAGTTTTTCAAATTCCTTGGTTGCTATGTTACAATCCGCTGGACAAGCCATATCAATTAGTAGGCAAGTTTTTTTTCTGGTTTTTTGACAATGATGTCCGGCCTATTTGCTTCAATTTTTCTGTCTGTGTGGATGGTATAATCCCATAGAATGGTGACATCTTCTATTTCTGTAACCGGCGCTGGCCGATGTTCATACCAGTGTTTGCTTACACATTTTCCAAAGTGTTTGCACATTGTCCAGTGTAAGTATTGCCCCCACTCTATCGTGACGATTTTTATATTCATTTGGGGCAAGTATAGAACATCCTGAGATTAGATGGTCTATTGTTTCTTGGTATTTGTCACAGAACCTGCATTTTGGATCCACATTATTATGTATGATATTTGCCTGAAAATTCCTAGTGAAAAGACTCTGGTCTTGCGCTGCAAGAATAAAGCCTTCAGTTTCAGACTTTAATCCAGATGCTCGTAACCATCGATGAGTATTAACTTTATCAACATTGGGTTTATTTGCACGTTCTGGATATTGGCCATGCAGAGGTTTGTCTTGCCAGCGTTGTTTCATCTGTTCAAGGGCTTTATCCTTGGCTTTCTTTTTTTCATATCTTTTGCTGCAATAGTTGGTTCTTGGCTTCTGTTTTGATTTACTACAGAATCTACTAAATGTAAATGTTGTTTGTATTTACTGCCTTCTTTTATTATTGAATATTTTTTTTCTTTCTGTTTTCATGTTGTTTCACTAATTTTATCATCCAGTCATTTGTTGTTTCCATGTAAGTTAGTAAGCCAATAGTTGTTGTCTTGTATGACAATTCTAGCTGAATAAGACCTCTTCCACCTTCTTTACGGGGTATGTATAGACGGTCTACATCAGCCTTTGGATGATGCATCTTATACTTAGAAAGAAGCTTTCTTGTTTTAGAATCCATTTGTCTGATGTCATTTAGAGTCCAGTTCAAGATGTTGAAACTATATTGGACCACTGGGATGGCAAGGTTATTAATGGCCATAATTCTGTTCTGAGAATTCAATTCAGTTTTTTTATTATTATTATTATTATCATTATTATTATTATCATTATTATTATTATTATTATTATTATTATTATTATTATATTATTATTATTATTATTAATTTGAAATTGTGATGATTATTATGATGTGATATGAAATTTGCTGTCTAAATATGACGTCACTGTTAGGCATATTACTGTAAGTCTTTTAATTCTGATCACCTCCCAATCCAGTATATTAACTTGTTCAGCCTTTTAAAGGACATTTTGTTTTTAGGTCAACCTATTGGCTAATCATTTAATTCTTCCTTCTTTCCTTTGTGTTCTTTTTTTCCTTCTTTCTCTTCCTCCCCCCTCTATCTCTCCCCCTCTCCCCAATTTTTTTTAAAAACTTTTTAAATTGAAATTTTTAATTTTTTTGTTCCTTTTTTTTATTATGAAAAAAAAAAAACGGTTTTCTTTTCTTTGTTTTTTTTTTTTTTGATTTCATTCCTCCGAAAAAAAAACCCCCCCCCAAAAAAAAAACCCCTTCGGTATGAAGAAATGAATATTTAAATATATTCATGATATAAATTATAAGCGAGATAGATTTGCAAGGATTCTGTTGACTTTATTTATATATATATATATATATATATATATATATGTGTGTGTGTGTGTGTCTGTGTGTGTGTGTGTGTGTGTGTGTTGCGTGTATGTATTAGTAAATAATATAGACAAGATTTGTCTGCCAAAGTTTTATCAAGTTTTTCCAACTTCCGACTAAATTATTTGATGTCAGAATTAACATTGTTAAAAGGAGGTACGGTAGATTGAGGAATCAGAGAGCCGAGTTCGAATTCCACTCGAATCCATTACATTCACTTGCGTGCTAATACCCTTAGGAAAGGTATAAATACTCTTCTTCTCCACAGCTATGGGTTCTATAGCTATGGATGGCAAATGATCTACTGCAGAAACAAATGGAAGGCAAATGGCGGGAAAAACTCTGCCTCGTCAGTCATGTATTGTCCTCATCATTGTTGCCATATACGCTCTGGCCTTCTTCAGATGGTTGGAATATCGAGCTGAACCCTTTATTTCGCTCACTGGGGTAGACTGTTCTAGTTCCACGTGCCATTTTTAATGGCTGTCAGTTATCAAGGACACATCGCACAGTGGATAATGGCGTTGGTTAGATCCAGTGGTAGTACCCAAATAATGTGAGTTCAATACCCGGTTAAGGCAGTGTAGAACATTCAGAGGGGAATTAACAGGAGATAACTGATGTTTTTGACATCCATTAAAAACATGACACATTGGAACTAGAACAGTCTACCCGAGTGAGCGAAATAAAGGGTTCAACTCGACATTCCAACCATCTGGAGAAGGCCGAAGCGTATATGGTGACAATGATGAGGGCAATAGGCCGAATAATGTAAATAGTGTAGTATATATATATATATATATATATATATACTATGTATGTATAAGGTCTTTTTTTTATTCTACTAGTACTTTCGGCTGTACATTCAGCCATCCTCAGTACTAGCAGAATAAAAAAAGACCTTATACAACTTGAAGGTATTAAAAGCAAGGATCATAACATTCATCGATTGGTTCGTAAATTAATGTAACTTTAATAAATATGTTTGCGAAAATGTTTTTCGCCATTTATATCATTAACTTTACTAATCTACTTTTTGTGTGAATGATTCATGTATTAATGGTCAATGTATATATATATATATATAGGTTTGTCTGGCTCTCTAGTTTCAACTAGGTCTGCTCTACTTACCGTATTGAGCACTTTATTTAGTTATTTTGCCTACTCGTATCGGTTTTTTTTCTTTGGACTTTGGACTTGCATGCTAGACGATTATTTTCGGCTGACGTACATGTTCTTGGTTCTTTCTTTTTTTTGTACCTTTTTTTTCCCTTTGGTATTG